TAAATTACATGATTCGTTTACATACGTCGAGGATTTCGTTGTTGATGTCGATAACGATGAATTTTCACGCTATAACCAATTTGTAAAATGATTTGAAATATTTATCTTGTCCTTATCCGTAATTCAGTGCTGACAGGTGGAATAGGCTTATCTAATTTTTGATATGATGTCTTCAAAGAAAACACGAGACGAACGAAAAATGATCTCATTTATACCCGATCATTTCATGTGGAATCTGACAAAGGTCTTTTAGGTGGAGTATCGACTTTAGGAAGAGGTGGGTTTGGAACGCATGATTCTTTCAAAATCAAAAAAAGAAAATATCAAACGATCTAATAATTATTGCTTTTACTTCTTGATTTTGGCTTCCTGTTGAAGAAAGTTTTTGATTTGTCGTCAGTCTATTCATTATATCAATAGATGAATATATGTTTATAATCATTAAAACATCAATATTTACTTATGGTGGACGTGAAGGAATAGAACCTACTGTATTTCTACCTGAACTCTGTAACAGAAACTATTAGATAATGATCGAAAGCATCTTCTTTTTATTGAATACGTTGATATATCATTTCTCAGCTATTGATTTTTGTTCTGTGAATACGTAAAAGGAAATATGAATTTACATAAAACATGAATAAACATAATTTAAACAAAATGAAAATTATTCACATTAATAAATACAATTCTAACGACTTATGAGAAAATTCCTCCGATTGATAAATCGTTTTTGCATCGAGATTATCTGCATTATGTAGATCTAGATGATCTCTTTCATATCGTTTATATAAATTAACAGAGTCGATGTTTTTGCTTTAGAATAGAAGTAAATCAGAAGATCTGAAGCTTTCACAATAAACTATTGTTGTTAAGGCTTGTCTCTAAGTAAAGATTCAAATCAAAATTCGACAATTCGTTTTTCTAGTGTTACTGGTGGAAAGACCTAGGCGATCATTTAAAATAGACTACGATTTAGGTGATCATTAAGTTAAATAACTATAAGACCAGTGCATTGAATGAATGATCAGTTTTTAATTGTTTGGATTGTTTAAAAGTTTAAAAATGAGTAACTAAAATTTATTAACAGTCTTAAATTAAAGGATAAGGTATAGAAATTGAAATGGATTACAGAATGATTTATTTAGGATTTTTCTTCTTTCTTTTTTTTACTATGATGTCTAGATGATCACCATACCATACATATAGATTGATCAATTGATGATTGCATCAAATAACCTGTCATTACTTGTTCAGATTTCATTAGTAAGTATCCGAATGAACATCGATCTAAAAACTAAGTAATTCAAGTTTTCACACATACTTTTCATCCAATCTTACAATGGAACACAGATATAATTTCTATTTTTCACTGATCAAATTTATGCTTTTTACTAATATAAATTGTCTTAATTTACTGGTAACTTAGGTACTGATCATTCAATCTATTTTACTAATCAAATATTTTGGTGCCTTTAAAAAATACGATAAAAGTGCACTATCTCCGTAGTAATTAGCAAAGGGAATAAACTTCTTTCAGTATATTCATAGCTCATTTCGATCTCCATTATGCACATAGTCGCTACCTGAGCTGTCAGCATGACAGGCCAAACTCAATCATGATATTTTAGTACTGAATAAAGAATCAAAATGATTTTTTTTCTTTCCAATCAAAAGTGAAAGATGTTCTAGATATCCAATGGATGTAAATTCTTTTTTCGTATATTGTATCAGTAAATTTTCGAAAAATTCTCGAATTTGACAAGTCTTTTCCGGACCTTTCTTATTTTTTTCACACTTTGGCATCTTTATCTTTCGATAAAGCTATTTCGACGATAAGTATGTTTACTGATTGCTACTGTTCGATTAGATCAACAATCCTTATAAATCAAATCTTATCCGTCAATCATAATTTTTTTTTGCGTGAAGACAAGAAAAGTTAGAACTAAATATATTATTGGCCTATAGTGCAGAATTTATAGCAATTGTATGCCCAACTGAACGTCATACTAAACGTCTTGACAAAAAAAGCATGCCAATCAGTGTTTCGTACATAGGATGGCCAAATGATTTTCCAAGAGGGCAGAGATTATTTGTTTTCTACATATCTCCCTGAATATTTATTTATGTCATGATAAACTCATTAAAAACATACAAGATAAACGATATATTCCATATATAGAGAGGATGAATTTCTTGAGAAACTCATCAAAACCAATGATGGCCATCATGACTTAGAGATTTCTTCGGTATATTTTAGAAAAGAATTGAATTTTCTGAAAACTACTAGAAAGTATCAAATCCTTTTGTGTCTTCGATTACATTGAATGAATTATTATCGAGGTTCAAAATAAATTAAATTCTAACATATTAGAAACATTGTATGGAACATAATAAAAAAAACAACTTCGAAAAAAATTGCATAAATACTAAATAGGGTTTGGAGAAAAGTCATAGTAGAAATTTTATGAATAAATATCAAAATCAATGTATAAATTCAAACGATGGATTTCAGTTTTTTGTTGAAAAAATTGTTTTTATCTACTCTATAACAAATATGAGTTACTTTTTCTTCAATTACTTTGAAGATGCACTATTATTTTTTTGCGTTCTTTTCGTTCCCCTTCAGTTACTCTACAAAAAACAACGAAACGAGTAAGTATCATGTGTGTTGGTAGGAGGTTTTTTTTTCTTCATAGCAGTATTGGTTTGGAGTGAAAACATCCTACGAAAGAAGGAAAAACAAATGTATTATATTTTTCTGTTCTTCAATTGTATTAAGTGAGCATAGGTTGTGACTAGCATATACTGTTACAGAGGACGCATTTTCATTAGTATTACTCGTTTTTTTTTATTCGCTCTGCATTGTTTAACAGTATGGTTAGTGTATGAAATTTTTTTCGATACTATCACACGTCGTTTACTCAGCGATTTATGACTATAACTGAAATAATACTGAGTCTAGCTATTTTCTTCATGGTAGATAGTTAAAACTATGTATAAGATGTTATTACTTGTAATTACGAAATTATTAGAACACACTGTTTAGATAATTATTAAGGTATTTCTGCCTATTTTTGAGGTTAATAAATCATTGAAAAATGCAATAGATTGAAGATAGACTACATATGTTTCTTTTTAGATGATTTATTATTCAAAAGAAAAGCTTTATTGCATTATTTTGCATTTCTTGTTTTTTTTTTAATCCAAACATCATATGATGTTGAAACAAAACATTGTTGACCAAACCTTTAGAATAGATGGTTTTGTGTGAGCTATAATTATTATTTCAGAAAGTTCATAGACATCTAGCTTTCAATGTTTGCTATCATTTAATATAGACACAGAATATGATTTATGTAAATATATTTATCAGAATTTAGCATAGATTCTTGTTCAGTAGTTAATTTGAAAGTTGTCTAGTATTTCTTTTTTCTTTACTTTTATCTTAATGCGTGCAAAATATTTCATGAAATTTTCTGAATTAGACGCCTCATTTCCGAATCAACCTTGTGAGAAAAAAACACATTAACACATATAATATTGTCAGTAGCATAAAAAAGCATTACTTACCACTATCAAGGCAAAATTCAGAATATTTCTATACAGTATTGGATTCACTATTGATCATTGTTTTAGATATGAGAACATATTTTGTGTTTTATATTACATCATGCAATCTTTGTGCATTGTGTATTTCTACATCTTTCACATAACCGTGCCAATAATTAAGACACATTATTTTTTTCATCTTTTATTTTGTTCAATTATGCAAAGAGAGTTCTAAACTTATTATCAATAATAATTGTTTTCTCTCTTTCTATCATCCTTTTCATTCTTTCTCCTATTGATCCTAGTTCGTTCTCATGTATATAAGTTCATATTTCACATGACGTAGACACAATTAGAGATGCAACGATAGCGATAACCGATCCCACAATGAACGATGAAACAGAAATTTCTTGATTTGAACTTTTCTGGAAGGAAAGACTTTTTGAAGAAAACAACAATTGTTATTAAGTTTGACCAAAGATAATCGTGATCGAGAAATCCAAATATGCAATCAAATTCTCGAGATACGGTATCTGTTCAAACAGTAAAGACTTTGCTTCTCTTGACGACAGCGAATTTTCACCAAGTTTAACGATAGGTATACAAAATTAAGTTTACTTCATAGATGAATGAAGTGCACAATTTAGAGAATCTGATTTCAGATTCGAATTCCTCGGTCCTGACTACCTTCGGGCAAACTTTATAAGAAATAGTTATTTTCTTAAAAAAGACTTTCGTTCTTGCAAAAATCAAATCAAGACATTTCAGTTTCACTGTTAACTATAGTTCTGGCCATTGGTGAGAATTGGCAACCGTAGTATTAGTAACCGGTGGAGAACGGTGAGACTGTGACGATATACCAATGAATAATCGTTCCCGTTGCATTTCTAGACACAACTAGATGGATTAGTGCAGCGAAGATCTATAATGAGTGTAGTGATTATGATACTCATCTGGTTTGTTATTGTTGATCACCATAAGACACAGATGATATAGATAACGAAATAAACCATCATCTCTCTCTTGTAAACGCCGACATTATAACGAACAAAAAATTGGTCTTGAAAAATTTTTGTTTGATTGAAGTCATCTTCAAATTTCCTTTCGTTGTATACAGTGCGTACAAGATAGAAATGTTATTCAATGTTGAATGAAATACAAAATATATTTTATTTCTTAAAAATTGTCTGGTTTGCCATTTTTCAACTAGTGCCATCGCACGTTTTATGTTCAAATGTGGAATGATGTCGTGACAGCCTCTTATGATCAGATAACTTTTTCTATTTTGTTTCTATATGAATGACTATAAATCCGTATACAGTATTAATATGAAGCTTTTGAAATGTTTGAAGATAAAATGATGATAAAAGACGTTTTATGCTTATTTCTAATAATTCAATTATTTTTCTCCACATTGTTAGGCATACCATTAGAACAAATCAAGTATCATGCCGCCAACCTTCGAACTAGTCGTTTGTATAACAGCTGCGGCACTTTTCGATTGTACCGAGATACTCGAAATTTTGAATCGTGATGGATTGGAAGCATGTAAAGAACATCAACGTGCTAATCTTATGGTGCCTCTTCAAACTGGTGCCGGTTATCCTCTTGTTCGATCACTCTTAGCATTGAATGAAGCCACTGAAAAACAACTGGTAGAAGTTGTACTCGTTTCGCGTACAGATAGTGATTCTGGAGAACGAATACGACAATCTATCCATCATTACGAACTACCTATTACACGTATGTCATTTACTGGTGGTACAGATGTTACAAAATACTTATTGGCTTGGAAGTGTGATCTTTTTCTGACTGCAGATGAAGATCAAGTGCGTACAGTATTGTCTGGTACTAGTTCTAAAGCATTTACAGGCATTGCAGCTGCGTTAGTGTGCAATATAGTACGCACGACACCAAATGTTTCTTCCAATTCAATATCGATACCTGAATCTGCTCATTGTCAAAAATCGGATTCGAAACTTGATATGACAGAATTGCCTTCTGAAGTAAATACATCAACTGAATCTGTTCCATCTACTCCATTACCTTACTTATCATGGCCAGAAGGTCAAGTTCGTATTGCTTTCGATGGAGATGGTGTACTTTTTTCAGATCAAGCAGAACGTGCCTTCAAAATAGGAGGACTTGAAGGATTTTTCGAATTCGAACGTAAACATGGACACATTGCTTTACCAAAGGGCCCTTTGCAAGCATTTGCTGTCAAATTACATAAACTTCGTCAATCACTAGGAGAGGATCATAAATGGAGAATACGTACATTTTTGGTTACTGCTCGTAATGATTTAGGTAACATACGAGTATTTCATACTCTAAAAGAATGGGGTATCGAAATTGATGAGACACATTTTTTGGGTGGAATAGATAAAACACCATTTTTACAAGCAATCAATCCTGCAATTTTCTTCGATGATTCAAGAACCAATATTGATCGAGCTAAAATTTATGTTCCATCAGCACAAGTTATCTATGGTATTAACAATACGCGTCATAGCAAGCAAACAAGATCAATATCTATTGAAAGGAAAGACGTGCAAAATGAACATTCCACGTAAATATATTAATTTATGATGTACTCAAGTTTCTTCTCTTAATTATCTGTTTGCTTATCTATTTTTGTTCTATCTGTTTTCGATTAATCTGTTTTTTCTTAACCTTTTATTATAATAATATTATACTTTTTTTTTTATTTAATAAAAAAAGTAAATAATAACGATAAAAAAAGTATTTGTTATACATATTTCAGTAGCTTATGACGATAATTATTTCAGAGAACGAATATTACATTACGAACCCTTTCTGACTGGATGTTAGAAGCGAGATAGTAAAAATATTTTTTCGTGCACATTTGTTGTTGCTCGATCACAGGGATAGCAATAGTGCTTGTGTGGTACTATGACAATTTGTTGCAGGACAATTCGTCGCATGGACAATTCGTTGCAAGACAATTCGTTGCCGGACAATTCGTTGCGGGACAATTCGTCGCAATGATATAATCCAATTACAACTTATTATTTTTTCATAAATTAGTTGGCATATTAAAATGAGTTAGAAACACATAATTCAATAAGTGTGATGAATGTAGAGACTATTTTTAACGACTAAATTTCGAATTTTTTTTCGGTTTGTATCGTCATAAGAAATTCTGGTTTGATAAAAAAAATCAGATCTACTTCCTCCACCACGATTAATACTGCTGAGATGAAAAAACCTCAAACTTGAGAAATCATCAAAATAGTGTTAGCACTGTATAAATCATCGATGAATTCAAACAAGATTAGTTTTAAACATGTCATATAAGAGATGATCGTTTTTAAACTAACACAGTTTGCACGTTAAATAAGGATATTTAATAAAAAAGATTTGATCAAAAGCTTTTTTTGGTTATGCTAAAGCCCAGCTTTGTTAGTGAATACTAGGCTTCACTTATTTTCTCAAATTATTGTTCCATGTATCGTAAATCCTGAGCTACAATAAGAATTGAAAAAAAGAAGCAGCACCACTTCTGCTTCCATAAAAAAAACTTTTACCGCTAGAATAATTCGGAGAATCTAACTTTTTATGTGTACCAGACGGTTATTGTACTGCTCGGGATCAAAAATCAAAGTTTAGTCATTAAAAATAGTCTCTACAATTGTCATACTTAATGAATTGTGTGTTTCTAACTCATCTTAATATGCCAACTAGTTTATGAAAAAATAATAAGTTGTAATTGGATTATATCATTGCGACGAATTGTCCGGCAACAAATTGTCTTGCGACGAATTGTCCATGCAACGAATTGTCCATGCGACGAATTGTCCACAACGAATTGTCTTGCAACGAATTGTCCTGCAACGAATTGTCCGGTCACCGCTTGTGTACCTAATGGCTTTATGTTGTCATTTGGCACATCCGGATACTAATGGGTCAAAATTGTGGAGCACTCATTATTCGTTTTCGGATGAGAGACCGTCACAGAGCACTTTTTTCGCCCACCTTTATTTGCAGGGTAGAGTAGAGCGCTCTTGGGGCATATTAACTAGAGTAGACTATAGAATGAGCTGTTACCATTATGAAAAGTTTTTTTCTTTATATCCCGTAATCATATCTTTTTATATAATTTCAAAAGAATATTATACATGTATGAGAGCAATCATAAATTCCGCTAATAACCGGTTGTAATCCGATTTTAAACTAATATTTAGTCTTTTTCTACCTTTTAGAATATTTTCCGAACTTTTCTTTCGATTGAAACTAATTAGTAAATTGTAAAGAATCAATATTGACAAATCTTTTTAATCGATTAAGAAGAATTGAAAAAGAAATCGCTTGACAATAAAAGCAATAAACTTTGACGACTAAAAATAGTGTCATTTTAATTTATTGTTAATGAAAAAATAATACTAGCTAATCTAATACATTACTGTTGTTGGCATGGCTGCATGACACTATTAGACTATTCATAAAAAAAGATATTTATCAATGAAAACAGCGATTATTTACGACTGAGTGTCATCATTTAATTGCTTCAAACTCTTTCATGACTATGAAGCACCAGATCGCGATTCATTTTCTAATTATTTGCTTCACTTCCTTATGGTTTAATAAGAGGTGTTAAATCTCCTCAAAGTCGAAAGAGATCGTCTTCAACGATGATGAATTAAATGAGTGTCAAATACATTAGTTCTAGTGAAACAGGCTTCACCATGAAATCATCACTAGCTGGTAGAATTACATAGATGATAGATGTTCTAAAAGATTCATGTTTGGATTTAGTAAACGATTTCAAATGATTTAAAAAAAAAGATTATCAGGACAAGCTATTTTGTGACGTCCTGCTCTTTGCTCCGCAGAAAAAACAGTGTAGAATTAAAAGAAACGGTGTGGGTTTAGGTTTTCTCTTCATATTCACCCACATCCACACCCTTTTGCTCTGAAAGGTACTCTGGCACACTGAGTCTCACACGTCGAGTACAGGCATGATCATAAAAGAATATCCGTCATTTCACTACGCTTTAATTAAGCCATCGATTTGTGCAAGAAAAAAGAGAGGTATATCCTTTGTTCGCATTCGATACTGCATTGTTGTTCTAAAAGGTACGGATTATATTTCAAAACGGCTTCATTGAAAGGTCAGTTAATACAATCCATGGCAATACTCTTGCTTTACTTATATTCACCATACAAGAAAAAAGAAAACGCAAAAAAAAATCCGATTTCTTGTTGATTTAATATTCTAAAGAATAAAGTCACATTTAGTCACATTCTCAATAGCAGTGAAACTATTGTCGGCGCCAGAATTAAAGAGGGGTGGGTGTAAGCGCAATAACTCGATAATGGTAACAGCTAGTGACCTACGGTTTTCACTAATTGAAAGAGGAGAAGGGGGCACGTCTTTTTCTCCGATAATGTGTAAGACGAAATCCTTTTAAAGTTAATCATCTTCGAAAAACATACAAAAGAATGCATGAAAATGACCTGCCATCTAGATGAAATTTTGATTTTGACCTTTGATTTAAATAGAGGGACTTGAGATCTANTTTTAATTGAAAAGATAATGATAAAGACTTCTATCAATTAAGTTATATGTCTATAAAAAATGTTTCAAACAATTAGCATACTAATTCATTGAAGAATCGTCTGATAAATTAACCATGGTGTCTTGGTTATCCGGTTGTTGAACAAGTGGATGGTAAACTATTGTCAATTTCAAAGATTGTCAGACTAAATGAAGTTTAACAAACATACTTTGATCTAGTAGACAAATAAATACTATATGATAGTGAGAATAAATTGAATTAAAGAAAAACAAATCTTGTAGAGGAATAAAAACCGATTGAGAGATTACTGTCAATATGTCGTTTTTTCTTTCCATCAATATTTTAAATGCTTCATTTAGAATGGAGACGTTGTTTGATGCCGATAATTTTTTTTGAGAAAAAGATATTCTTGTGAATATGATTCACTGTCTAACCGATCAAGTATAGGTAATGCAAGCCAAATAAGTTCTTTAGCAACAGATGGAAAATGAAGATCTTGAGGAAAATATTTTCCAGTTTGGTCAGCAGTTTTTCCTACATACAAATAAGATATAAGGCATAGAGATATTAAATCTTTATCTATATCAAATAGTTATAGTAATGAGATTTTTTGGAATCAATCGAAATGTTAGAACTATTATGCGACTATCTTTCAAATAACTTTATCAACTTACCAAAAAGACTTTTACTTTGCCTTAAAGTTTCGAGATCTACATCGGTTAATTTATCTCGTTTCTTTAGTAAAGTTTGTATAAATTTACGATTGGATTCTGAATTCGATGATGTTTTAGAGTTACATTGAGAGTCTACATAGACTGCTTGACAACAATTTTCTTAAGAAATTCGATCGATATAGTGTTATTCAAGTGTTCGATTTATATACTCTCATCATTTTATCTTATTATTCACTTTTGAAGATCGTGAAAAGTTGAATGTGATAATTGGTAAATTTGTATGAAATAAATCTTGTGAAGGAATATGTGATTCTTTCGGTAATTTCATTCTTTTTTACAATTGGAATACATATGCATTGATTTCAATGTATGTGAAGTAAAATCAAGTAAATATGTAGACATTATTTTCTCAGAAAATAATTTGTGCCGTTTTTTTTTTTGATTAATATTAAAATTTAAAAGACATTATAATGAAACTTCAGATAAAAATAATTTTTATCTAATTATTCATGTGACAGATCAGAAGCTATATTTGATGGTAAAAATTCTGAATATATTTCAATATTATAATAGATGAATGAATGATTTCACAATAGTGAATAATTGAGAGAACTTGTGTAACATGTTTTATTACTGATTTCATTGTTACATAACCAATGAAGTAAGTTAACAAATTCGTTTTATAAAAATTTTGATCGATGTAAGTGATGAATTATCATTGAACGATTGATTTCATTAATTAATTGATTTTTTTTTAAATATTGTGAAGAAATCATTTTTTTCCAACTTTGAATAGAACGAGTGATTCCGATAGAAATAAACAAATATATTCTGAATTTGTGTAGATGAAATTAATGACAGATGATTATCGGATGACTTTTGTTTTACTGGAACAAGAATATCTTCCTTTGAGGAAAAAAATCCATTGCAAAGAATATCATCTTCAAAAAAAAAAACATTGAAAAATATAGAAAATAAAATAAATTTATTTTAACATACCAACTTTTTCAGGTATGATTGGTTTAAATGAATATGTTGCAAATATAGAATTATAATCTTGTGAAGTATCAAGTATCATTTGATCATAAATAATTCGTGTATTTTTTTTCCAATAGATTGAAGAATTTCTTCGTTCTATTTTTTAATGTATGGATTATTTAAATCAAGATTCTCACGTTCTATTATTAGTATCAATTGACTGTATACATGCACATCGATATCGGTTGATTAATGTGTTAAGAGACTAACGAATATTTGTCCAGATGAAATTATTTTATTATCATAAAATTTAAGTGGAATTATAGAATTGAGAATTTGAGTATGAAGATTATCATTGATTGATGTATGAAAATCTTGATTTTGAAAAATCTGAAGAAGAAGCTTTTAGTCGTCATTAAAATACGAAATGCGATGAAGCTGCTGTCAGTGTACTAAATCGAAACTGTAATAAGATCTTACAGACATTTTCAGAGTTTGAGAGAAAGTGAGAAAGAAACGATTGTACGGGAAGTTCTTTGGATCAGCTAGCGGTAAGAAAGTTCAAATTCAGTCTTTGTTCATCCCGTCTTCTTCACTGCTTCCAAGCGACGAGTCTTTCGAGTAAAAGAGAAAGTGATCACATGATAGGAAATAAAGATCAAGGAGAAAGGGTAACAGTCAGAAAAAAAAGTGAAACAAGAACAGATCGATGAAAGAAGATGACCTAAAGGTTAAGAAAATATGAGGAACAACGAGAAGATTGAAGCATTTAAAAGATCTTCGAAAAGTTATTTTGCTAAGGATGAAATGATGAGTGGTATTCCGACTTTCGGCTAAGATTCTGTCGCTATTCGTTATCTTCTTTCTATCGATACGACAACCTATTGCTAGTTCATTGAATACTACTGTAGTCTTTCTATTTGATTTAATTGGTTCAAACAAACGTCTAGCAAATCGACAATTTAAATAAGGATTTCTATGGTTATTTAAATTCTTATACAAAGGACTGAAAATTGATCACACAATAAGAGGCATTCGCCACCTTTCCCTCTTTCTATGGGGAATAGATTGTTGGCGGAAAACTTCTTAAATCTATTGACTAATTTAATATATAAATTTCAGTCATCAACTATAGGAACGTTACATGTTCCTGAATAGTACGAACATTTTATTGCTGTTTAATGGAGGCAAAGTCACTGAATAGAATGCCAGATATGAATTCATCATTTTTTTAAATAGTCTTGATTAGCTTTTTAGCTCAAAAAAGCGAGCCCAACATGCAAATTTATCTTTAGGATAAGCATATGTATGATAATATTAGGGTGAAAATAGGTCCATCTAATGCAGCACAAAGTACTTAAACAATAGAGATATTTGTATACTTCGTTGCTCAGTGATTCGAATAGTCTAGTCTTTTAATATCTGACATTGTTTAAACGATCAGAAACACGTTGCACATGGCGCATTACATAGTTATAATAGCTCACCAAACAGAAAACAAGAGAGAAGAAGAGAACGTCATTGACGACAAGACAAACATTGCGCTTGTCGTCGTATGAAAGTGCACGCATAATGCAACAAAGTGAGTCAATTGTTAAGTTAAAATCATTGATTATTCTCGCTCAATACTTATTTTTTGATCTGCATGTGATTGATTTGAAATGGGAGCCGGAGCTTCTGGAACAGCCTCATCAACCATTGAGAAGGAAGTAGCTATATTCGCATCTCATCTACCAATGGCAGAATTATTGAATGGTGGTATAATTCGATTACCAGGCGCTAGTGGTTATTTTAACCCTGATTCACTGTTGGAACCGAGCTGGCTAAAAGGCAAAATGACAGTGGAAGAATATCGATCAGCCATCAATTACATCAACAGCTGTGCGGTTCGTAAGGAATTGGAGATTAAAAGTCAAATATGGCCAAAAGAAACATATGAACGAGAGAAGGCGAAAGCAGAAGCTGGTCAAGCAGCAGTTCAAAAGCTCAATGAACAACAGAGTTCAGTTCGATTCACGTATCAGCAAAGTTTAGAAAAGGTTGAATATATTCCCATTTATGATAAAAATCTCCTTTCATATATTAGTGTATTAGCAGAAAAAGGTCGTTACCTAACTGTACGTTATTACATTTACATGAATGTCAACTGAATGTTTTTTTTGTGTAGAAAAAAAAAAATAAATATCAATAAGATTATTACTTTGTCATCCTGTTCAACTCATTTCTGATTCAAACTCATCAAAGCCGATAGATAAACGTGATAGACGATACGCATTATTGAATTAACATTGATCAAAGATCTCGCAAAAACAGATCATGTAAATGTAAAATCTAGATTTTATCTATGATTTGAAAACATACTTTTTTTTTGAACGAAATTATATTCATTTTTTACTTAATTCATGATAAAAGTAGAATAAGGAACTTGAACTGTCAATGGCATACTGAATATGATGGAGGCCAATGTTTGAAGAAGATTTTAGCAAATTCTTGACGAATCGAATCTTATAGAAATCCATTGTCATTCAAAACATTTTAACATGCAATATTGAAAATTAACCGTCGGGTTGATATTAATTATGACAAATACACCGAAGAAGATCAGTGTCAAAAACATATCCAAACGTCATCAAGATTGAATTGAACTACATGCTTTAGAGCATGGAAAAGACTACTGAATTAGCCATGCAAAAGATACTCGATGTACTAGTGTGTACAAGTGAATATAAATTCTTTGATACTATTTTATGTTTAATTTGTAAATCAATCAAAAAGTAATAACAGATTTTGACAATCGATTGAAATAACAATATTATTATTAAAGAATATTTTTTAAATCTGTCATCACTGATGAAGAATTAGCTTCTATTGGTAAATTAACAACATGTTCTCTATTTTTACTAAATTTCGACTGAATGTTTTTTAATCCTTCGATTTGTTCTCGAATTTTAGCACCATTGATTGGTAATCGATAAAGAGAACCTACTAAAAGAAATATTTGTTCTGATTTAATGACATCAGTAGAATTAGATGAATTATTGGATATTGTTGTTGAAGTTATTTTCATTGCTTGTTGAAGAATATTCATTTCGTTTTTATAATCAACTAATAATTTTTCTAAACCAGCAATAACATCATCATTTTGAACTCCGGCATTCTTTTTTGTTTTTTCTTCTCGAATAAAATGTTCAATATATTCCAAAATATCATCATTTACTGGATTAAGTGCATTTACACGAAGAAATTGTGTTAATTGAGTACAAACTTTAATAATAGCTTCTTGTTCTTCTTTTAAATTTTTAATACGTTGGTCAATTCCATCGATTGGAGATTGTGTTATATTCTTACTATTCATTACAATATTAGTAATAAATTTACGAACTTCATAAGTAATATGCATATGTTCTTTTCTAATACAACCACATCCCTTACAAATATCTAAAAAGATTTTCATTATGTAAACTAACAAAACGATAGAAAATGGTTACTTAAAATGAAAAAAAAAAACATCGAATATGTTTTTTTTTTGTCTTCGAGAAAGAGACAACTGAAAATTTCGTGCTTTCTGGAGAGCTGTTGATCAGAAAGAATTCAAACTTTCAGGCACATAAGTGTTGATGAATAGAACTAAAACTATCATAGATTTATATTCCCGAATGTTTTTTTGTAGAAGATACTGATGTCGCAATACGTCTCATAGAGTTACGTTCTGTTTAGAATGCATATATATTTTGGTTTTCTTTTAAATCGTCCAATTCGAATAAAAAAAATGTTTGCTTTTTTTTTATTAGAAATTTCTTTGTAAACTTTGACAATAGCTTGTGTTGGAGTCACTGAAATAAACAAATTCTCATTTATTCATTACATTAATCTCAAATTATGTACTTATGATTAATCGCAAGGAAAAAAATCTATTAAGAAAACAATATTGTTTGATGAAACTCATTAGCGATTTTCTTCATTTTAGTAAAAGTTGACCGAAGAATAAAATATACAGTGTAATGCTATTCAAAACGAGAACCGAAGTTTCACTTTTATAGTTTTCGAGTATGAAAGTATTTTTAAAAGAAATAAATTAAACTTACCTAAGGATTTATCCATAGCAGTACAATCTTTTAATTTTTCATGACCAATAGTCTCCTGTTCGACACCAGTAAGATAACAATGTGGATGACAATGACTTGTATAATCAACTTTTCCTATATTATCGATTGTAATTACTTTGGTACATTTTTCATTTGTACATACTGTTCTTGGATATCCAAGTGGTACGATTTCTGCATCTTCTTGTGGTAAAACCTGTGGTGTCGGAGCTCTATTTGATATGACATTATTTTTATGTTGTTCAGCTAATTGAAGATTTTCTTGAATGAGTGTAGAAATTTCACCAATAGGTCTTGAAAGTTTTCGTATTAATTGTTGTGCTTCATTAAGTGAAAGTGTATCACGTGTAGCATGTTTATCACATTTAATTATACGAGATATAAGACGACTAAATTCAAGAATACTATGATCCCAACTTCTACTATAATCTTTTTTTTCTTCAGGATTAAATTCAATTCCATTTTTACATAATGCTAAAAATCGAAATGCTTCATTATCGAAGAAAAATGAATTTTCTTTTGAAAATGGTACTTCAGTATTTGAATTATCTTTCAGACTTCGAAGAAGTTCTCGTAGAAGAGGAGCTGATGGACCAGGTTGAAAACTAGTTGCTCGAGCATTTGTAAATATAAACATTATATTTTCTTTAGCATGAACATGTAAATGTCTAAGTAATTCTTTGATACAAAAACGAAATAAAATATGTAATCTTTCTTCATTTGGTTTTAATAAAATACATATTCCATTTAAATAATCAAATTGACTTATATAAGCAAGAATATCTTCAAAATTTTTTTCATCTTGTAAAATACCTTCAGTATCACCAATACCTGGTGCATCAATTAAACGTAATATTCTATTATTAATTCGAAATATAAAACTTTGACATTCTCTTGTACATGATTGACCTACACCACCTTTTTTTTCACTTTCATTTGGTATACCAATTGTTATTGTTTTTTCTACAAATGTATCTTTATCGAAAAATATAAACCATGCTGGAATAACTGCTTGTAAATTTCCATTAATAGCTTCATCAAGTGAATTATAAACAAGATAATTAGCAAATGCATTAATAAAAGTCGTTTTTCCAACACCTGTTTGACCCAATAATAATATATTTATATCTCCTGTCGATGTAGTACTTCTTTGTCTTACTTGAGACATGTTTTCAACTGATCTGAAAAATACTGTAATTTATTATCGATGGAAAAAAATTAACCAATGCTTACAAATACTATTGGAAATTACCTAGGCAAATATCAAATGACTTTTATGAGTCATAAATAAAAAAAATTATTTGCGTTAATTGCGAAAGAAAAAGAAACGTTTGGTTGTTATAAGAACTTCTTTTTTTTTAAGTACTCAATGAAAAAAGTAACGAAAAAGCTGACGTATTTATGCATTGAGAATGCAGATGTTAATACACTAAAAAAAAAAAAACA